GAGTGTCATATTTATACTTTTCATCCAACTACAATTAAATTCACTATCTAGGAGGCACAATTTATATGGATAGTATTTATTTTTTACAATAACAAGTCGAAACAAAATAGGAGAAATGACTTTCTACTTATCTTTTTTAAAATGTAAGGAGTAGAAAGTACAGATAATTCTATACAAATATGAGTAAAAAGTACAGATAATTGTGTACAAATATGAGTAGAAAGTACAGATAATTGTGTAAAAATGTAAGTACGAAAAGTAAAAAGTAGGCTGAAAAATTTACTCAAGTAAAGTACAGATACCCAAAATGTTTATTTAAGTACAGTAAGAAAGTATTTGTACTTGGTTACTTGTGAMTTTGTGTTTCTGGGCTGTATTTGTGATGTTCGTGTTTTTCACTGACAGGACAGAGACCTGGGCGATGAGTAYGGATGGAAGCAGGTTCACGGAGACGTCTTCAGACCTTCCAGCCATCCTCTCATCTTCTCTTCRCTCATCGGTTCTGGCTGCCAGATCTTCTCCGTCTCCTTCATCGTCATCATCGTGGCGATGGTGGAGGACCTGTACACAGAGTGAGTCCTGAACGCTCCCAATGGTTAATAAAACCAGAAACATGAAACTAAAGAACGTTTCTGACCTGCAGGAGGGGCTCCATGCTCAGCACGGCCATCTTTGTTTACGCTGCTACCTCTCCGGTCAACGGCTACTTCGGAGGAAGTTTATACGCCAAACAAGGAGGTAAAGCGCCGCGCGTCACGCCGCCGCTTCACGTCGAAGCGTTTAAACTCACGACAAAATTGAAATGTCTCAGGCAGGAGATGGATCAAACAGATGTTCATCGGAGCCTTCATGATCCCATCCATGGTCTGTGGAACGGCTTTCTTCATCAACTTCATCGCCATCTACTACCACGCCTCCAGAGCCATCCCGTTCGGCACYATGGTGAGTTTTTACACGTTAAAAACAAACGGCTTCGGCTTATCTTCACGATGTGAGCAGAAACAGCTGAAGTCATAAAATCAGCTGAAATTATTGTTGGGAAAACAAATTTATTTTCTCCTTATGGACCGTGGAGAAAACTCAAAACTAACTAGACATGGGTTTTTAGATGTAAAAACAAGTGTGCATTGCCATGTAGCCTGTCTTTACCTGCAGCAGTGCACTTGCAGAATGATCTGTGACCAAGTTCAAATGTGTTTTCTATACCAGCTTGTGCTTGTGAAGTCAGCAGGTGTTTGTAATAAGTGTAATTGTGTGACAATATGAACTTTGAAGAGAATTTTAGTTAAAGYTGCTGTTGCTGGGATTTGAAACCTGATCTCCCACTTGAAAGACCATGGCATTAACCATGAGACCATTGGAGCTATGAATGCACAGTCCCAGTGTTTTTTTTCTGTGTGTAGAAAGAGGCAACATTGCCAATGACGATTGTTGACACAAAACTGCAATATATTAAAACAAAGCAATATTATAAAAGATGTAAATGATTACAAGAAAATATTATAATAAAACATTAAAATACAAAGAAATTAGTATTGTAATCGCTGAAGTACTGAGTTTAAATATGATTAAAGTATGGTGCAGTACCAAGCTGAGCACATAAATCAGGGGCAGTATTGGACCAATACAAGGCTGTATTGACACCCATTAATAAAGTTTAAATATTAATATTTCAAAAACTATAAGTTGTACAGGCACCAAAAAGCATAGCCTGCATTTGGACATGAGCTTTACAGATACAGATTACAATGGCAACTCTAGGACAAAGTTTGTAGGAGGAGAAGCGTGCCGAAATAGAGGATGACTTGGATGGGGAACGAATCACAATAGTGTGCATTGCATTGGCATTGGTATGAAGTCTAATAAAACAACTGGACTTTTATTTTGTAGATTAAGATGTTTTGCTTCCTGTTGGGAGGTTTCTCAATTCAGAAAGAGTCCAGTTTTGTTTTGAACCTTTTTGGGTTTCAGGTCAGAGGTTGTTTTGATGAACAGTTTAGCTCATYGCTGCCATCTAGTGGTCATGTTAGAGGTTTTATTTGAAAAGTGCCTTTCAGGACACCCAAGGACACTTAGGTCAAGTGGTACAGAGTTCCAGAGGAGAGGTGCAGAGCAGGTGAAGGCCCTGCTCCCCTTGATTTGGATATTTTCACTGTTCAGATATCCGGAAATTCTCCATCTGTGCTTTAGATCAGATTGTTTTTCAAAATAAGAGTCTCCTCTTTTCTTTTAAATTGAAATAGAATATTTGAATTTTTGCTAAGAGGTTAAAGACAGTAAAGACCCTCTTGGACCACCAGCTGAGATGAAAGTTGTCTCATCTGCAGGTCGCAGTCTGCTGCATCTGCTTCTTCGTCATCCTGCCTCTGAACCTGGTGGGAACCATCCTGGGCAGGAATTTATCCGGTCAGCCCAACTTCCCCTGCCGAGTGAACGCTGTGCCTCGACCAATCCCAGAGAAGAAGTGGTAGGTGTGGGGGGGCTGGGAGGTGATGGGTGGGGGGCTGGGTCTTACAGATTTAGTTTAATTTATAAAGGCTGAAATCAAACTACCAAGCAGGAGACATCATGAAGACTAAGGAACCCTCCTCACAGATCAGAGAGAAGGTGATGGAGAACAGATCAGGGTTGGTCCATCATGTCAGTCTCTATAGTCCTGGTCCATCAGGTCCTGAGACCTGATGGACCAGGACTATAGAGACTGACCTGATGGACCAGGACCATGGACAGACCTTGTTCTTCTGATTTCTCATGATAAATGTCTGTTTCTTAGAATCAAATGTAATTTACAGGTTTGACGTCTYACATCAGAATTATTTGGTGAAACTTTATTTAAAACCTGTTTTTGTTGTTTTAACTGTTCTGTTTCAAACAAACTCTCAGGTTCATGGAGCCGGCCGTCATCGTGTGCCTTGGAGGAATTCTGCCCTTTGGATCGATTTTCATAGAGATGTAAGTTTTTGTTGTTTTGAGCAGATCCTGGTGGTGTTGTTTTTGTTGCTGCTGTTGTTGTTGTTGTCCTGCTCAGACACACCTGTGTTTTCTCAGGTACTTCATCTTCACGTCTTTCTGGGCCTATAAAATCTACTACGTGTACGGCTTCATGATGCTGGTCCTGGTGATCCTGTGCATCGTCACCGTGTGCGTCACCATCGTGTGCACGTACTTCCTGCTCAACGCTGAGGACTACAGATGGTCAGGGTCCTGCCTCGCCCCTCTGATGACAGCATGGTTGTCCTGAGCTGAACCTTGTGTTTTTGTCTTGCAGGCAGTGGACGAGCTTCCTGTCTGCTGCGTCCACAGCGGTTTATGTTTACATGTACTCGTTTTACTACTACTTCTTCAAAACTAAGTGAGTCTCTGTTTCCTTTGAGCTGATGAATCCGTAAAACAAACAGATCCAGCTTTGACGTGTCGCCCCGTGTCTTTCAGGATGTACGGCTTGTTTCAGACGTCCTTCTACTTCGGCTACATGGCTGTGTTCAGCACCGCTCTGGGAATCATGTGTGGTGAGTTTCAGAACCCTCATATTAGCCTAATCTGTAATCAGTTGTTTGGGAACGGAAGAAAATGTTTAGAGTCAGGCAGCCGATAACAATTTTCCATCTKCCTTAATGTCCGCTGGTACATCCCAATGTGGCGAATCCAATAAAACAGTGTGGACAATCCTGCCGAGCTATCAGCTTCTCCAAGATCAATTCCATCTCACCAGCAAAGTCCAGGAACCACAGCCGGCCCACGACCCTCAGCAGAACCGCTTGCAGACAGAGTCCAGCTCGCTCAAGGCAAAAGTCTGAGTGCTGATAGAACGGCAATCCTTCATACTGGTCAGGCAGCCAGGAAATGAACAGCCACAGATGTTGTTTTGTAGAACACCAGGAGACCACCAAACCAATTTGTAGATTAAATCCATAAAATCATCCATAAAGTTGGGGTAGTATTATACTCTGATAAATATTTTTACTTATGTGTTTTAACTGAAATATTGGCTTCATTCACAAAATGCATGAGTCCGAAAATAAGACCGCGTCGTAAAAAGCAGTTGAAACAAGCTTACCGCTGACACTCCTCGTGCTTCAGAGCGAGATAATAACAGATCCAGGCAGGCGACATGATGTGGAAAAAAAAGGCAGTCCACAGTGGCGTCACTAGGCTTATTTTAGTGGGGCTGGAGCCCCCCTAAATTATTTTAAAGCCCCCCTAACTTATTCTGTTGTAAAAAAATTTTTTTA